GAACTAAAGGCATAACACCATTTGCCTTGGCAATTTCATCTCTCTTGTTTCTCACACCCAGAGCAAGCACACCCAATGCCTCGGAACCAATGAAGTGTAAGCTTTCAGGTAAATTCTCAGAGAGAAACTCAATGAGCAAATTGATGCCTATTTCAGCAGCAATTGACCGTCTTTGGGCATTTTTTGCTCCAGCAATAGCCCAAAGGGCTCCTGCAGTCTTTGTTCTAAGATCCGCTGCTCTTGATCGCTTGAGCAACCTCATTAACACCATGACACAGCCATGTTCTGTTACAATACTTTGATTACCCTCATTACCATCTGCAAGAGCATGAATCCCTTCTACTGCAGCAAACTGGCATTCTCTGGACCGTACACGCATAAGTTCCATCAAAGGCTGCACTCCATTTTCAGCAACAAAAGCATTCTGGTTACTTGTGTGTTCAGAAACAAGGGCACTCACTGTTTTGGCTACTGCCGATAACACATGCTTGTTCTTAATCGCAGTCAGCAGGTTAACTAAAGACTTCCAGATGTCCTTGTTACTTCCAATAGAAGTTTGTATCTCTGCATTTGAACTTGATAAAACTCTCAAAGTACTCAAAGCAGATTCAACAACTTCTTCGTCATCACTGAACTGAAGTAACCGTACTAAAGAATCAATACCTCCGTTACTAATCATGGCCTCCTTATTCTCTTCACAGTATGCCAGTGCTTCGAGCAGCCTTGTAGCTGGTAGGTACAAATCTCTCGGTGTGTCGTTCAGTTGTAGAATAATTGGCGGCACTGATCTGCAATTAGTTAATTGCTCACTTCCAGCTGGATGTCTTACCAAGTTAAGTAGCACTGATAACGCAAACACCTTCGATTCCTCACTTGACAAGGCATTTTTCAATAATCCGACAATCGCTTGAACACCTCCAGCTTTCAGGAAAGATTCTAAGTATAAATCAGCATTTTCTTCAGTTGTAAGTTCCACGAGAGCTCTTGCACAGGACGTTTCTAACTCGCTTTGGGACAGTCCCTTAATCAAATTGTTCCAGACTTGAAGATCGGGACTGTTCAGATTCAAAAGATACTCCACGACTTTAATGTGGTTCTTTGACGCTGCTAGTTCGACAGCTCCGTATAGATGACGATCTTTGGCTTTCAGATTAGCGTGCAACTCCTCTACGAGAAGTTGTACAGTCTCGACGTGCCCGTTCATACAGGCTAACAGAAGCGGGGTTAGTTGTTGTCCATCTTGCGTTTCTAGTTCCAGTTGGTCTTCCCGTGACTTTATAAAGCGATTAACACTTTTATAATACCCATTGTACGCGGCATGATGCACATGTGCCCAGCCATTTTCGTCGAATTCATCCATTACTTAAGTTGACTTCAAGCTGCTGTACACTGTAAATATAAAGCAATGTGTACGCAAACAGAATGAACAGCGCTGCTCTCACCAATCAAATTTTCAGTCAGATAGATTGCTTCGCTCTTTCATC